CACGATCATATCCAAATGCAGAATAATAACTTATGATTTCTACATTTTCTCTCGCTTGGGATTTGTCTAATTTTCCCTCTTCGGATTGGTTTAGGTTTCAGCCTTTGTGGGTTTGATTTCAATAATATGTCCATTTCAAACATAATCATTCAATAGTATCAAACAATGTGGGAACTACTTTGTTATTGTTTTGACCTCTGCAATAGAAATAAGTTAGGATGTCATCAAATATTCAAAGCATTCAATTTGCATGTAATTGAGGATAGGCGACGTGTTCTATCACCATATTCACAATTCGGCAATAGTACAGGGGGTCTATCTATAACAATCGAATTAGAGAACTTCTATCTACAATTCCACAATAGTTATATGGTGGAAAATTCTTAAAAAATCATAAATATATGTAAGGATAATATAATTGAAAATAATAATGTGTTTAAAAGACATCGAGGATCTTTTACCACTGAGGGCATGGGTAACTCAATCATGGAATGATTTCTCAAAATTGCTCAAGTATCTTCTACCATCGAGAGTGAGGGTGACTCGCAACTATCATCATCATCACCACCGAAATTTGAAGTCAAGAAGAATGTTGTTGTAAACAATATATTCTAATTTGAAAGTTGATATTGAAACTCTTAATATGTACGGGAAATATAAATTGATAGTAATCAACTATGCAAAAAAAAAAATCACATTTTATCATATTTAACTATTAAAATTTTAAGCCTCCCTCCCAATTTTCCTACGTCTGCTATTGTCTATAGCATGAAGATTTGTTTCAGTTGAATTGTTCCTATATTATATCAAGATTGGATTCCCAAACCTTATAAAAGATTAACAATTTCATCAACAAGATCTCACTGAACTATGCATAATTGTATTTCAATATGTAAAATAAGAATTTTTTGGCAACAAAGAGGTTCCATTTGCATCATGTACATATTCGTTTACCAATCAATCAATCACAGCGAAAAAAAATAAAAATAGCAAAAAAAGATGAAAAATTTACCTTGAAAAGAGAAACGGGCTATAGTGAAGAAGTGGCGACTGGAGATGCGTCGACGTCGATGTGCCTACAACCTACAGTAGTAGCCAAGGAGGGCTGGGCAACGAAGAGGAAGAGGCGGCGAAGAAAAGCTGAGTAGGTGGCTCGAGGAGGCATAGTGATCGGCCTGAGGACGAGGCGGCGAAGAAGAGAAGGTAAAAAGCGTAAAGTCACGTAACGGTGAGGCATCGCTAAGGCTATTTCGGGCTATTGCGACAAAATAACGGTAAAAAGCGTAAAGTCAAATAGCGGTCTAATTTAGATATGTATAAATACTAAAAAAATTTAAAAAAAATCTAAGAAATCTAAAAGTACATATTGGATGATTTAAAGATATCCTAAATATAAAATAGACATGTAACCATCACGTAACACCGAAGATGACTGGAGTAGTCAAAAAGTCGTTATCTTCGAGAAGAAGAGCTTAGCGGTGACAGGACTACCCTAAGAGGAGCTCACGGTGAAGGAGGTGAGAGGAAGTATTAAGCTAGGTGCCAGAGACTATAAGAGATGGCGGGATTATGCTGAAAATCACAGGACGGTGGAATGCAATGATTAATGATTGAGTTTAATTCTAAGAAAATAAACCTCAAACCGCTTCTAAATAGCAGTCAAAAAGCAAATTTCGAATGTAATCGCTCACTATTTACCGTTATGACACACTATTGGTTGCTTTTACGAACAGACATATTCCGTAATATATCACCGCTATTACGTGATAGCATAGCGGGCGATAGTGTCGCGGGAATGGACCGCTAACGCTATTAGCGTCGCTATTACGGGGCTATTTATCGCTATTTATAACAGTGGTCGGGTCTCTCAATAAAAATCTATTTTTTTGTAATTTCTAGGTTGGGTTAGGCAGATTTTAACTTTTTTTTTGCTCACAACACTACGCAGCCCGCTTAGCCCTAGGCGACGTGGACGCCTAGCATGGCAACTTAGGCCAAAATTAGGTCTTGAGCTTTACCTATGCCTAGGAGGGCGCTTAGACGTCCGCCTTAACAGCTTTTTGTAACATTGCTAAACGGATTACTCAGGTCGACCCATTTATGACCCATACCCACTTATTACGACCTATATCCAACAATAACGGGTCAGCTTGAATTAATGGGTCGGGTCAAAATTTGTCATCCCTATAAAGAGTAAGGCGCAATGGGGGTGCAAAGTCCCTTTACACACGCCATGTGGAAGACTCAATTAAAACATTGCGCGTCACCTCAAACGGACCTTTTTCCAACATAAGAAAACCAAGCATGGAGCAACGTGTTTATAGATTTTCTAATAAAAAAGACTTCAATAAATATATTTTCACCTACTAAATACAAATTAATCATACTTTTATATTTACATAATTTTAAATTGCTTTTTTTCATTTGTAGCTAAGCTCACTGATACTACCGGATTCTCATAATTTCGCAAATAAATTAGTAGCTAAAAACCACAACTCTTAACCACAACGCTTACCGTGTCAAAGCATTTCGTGGTAAGGTGCGCAATTCATAACACTGAAAAGTATATTTCTTCAATCATAATCGTTTATCAAGCGGTTTTGACTTATCGTGAGTAAACAAAATACGTATAGTTCTATGAGAGAGTATGGTGATAGTATTATTCAGAATAAATTATAACCATTCTAGATACAAAAAGGATTGCTTTTGATTTGCTAAGTAATGACTGCCAAAGAAAAAAAATAGAGAGGATCTGAATGTGACATTGCTTGCCCCTTGAAGGAAGATAAGATACAGGAAGCGTCTATTTATAATTGATAACTATTTTTTTTTCATATACCATAATCTAGGGCGAATCTATTCACATTCTAAGGTTGCAATTGCACCCCTAGACATTTACAAATTTGCATGTACACTCAGGCAAAACTTTACGACCCACCCCCCCAAATAAAGTAAAAATTGCACCCTAAAGCCCAAAAAACTAAATAAATTAGTAACAATTTGAATTAATTTCATTGAAAAGTAAAATCTCATTTAAAGTTCTAGCAAAAAGCTTTATTGAGTACATTCTCATTACGTATAATAGCTTTATAATGTTATATTTTTATCTCTAGATAAATAGACACTTGCCCCCCACCCACCCTCAAAAAAAGGAAAATTTTCTGGATCCGCCACTAACCATAATATATTTCATGCAAATCTAGGGATATACACTAATTTCTGCTTCTGCAATGATAAATGGTGGAGCAACCTATAAGAAACAAGCAAGTGCAGCTTCTTATGAGTTAATGAGTACTCTTGGATGTTGGAATTGAAGAAACAACATGAATTAGTGCTCAGGTTATGCAATTCAGCAACCTATTGGATTGCATAAATCATAGAATATGTTCATCGTTTGCTGATATCAGAAAGTGGACATTAGGTTCTTGGGAAATTCCTCTATTAAAATCCTTCTGTGCCTTCATTATTTCTAGGGTACTTTAAGGCAATGACTCCTAAAGTTTAGATACTTACGTGGGTAGGAGAAAGCTAGATTGAATACGAAGAAAGTGTCGAGTAAGAAAGAGGTAGCTATAATGGCCTTATTTTCAACATTTAAAAGCCATGGACTCCTAAAGTTACAGATTCTAACATGGCAAGGAGCAAAGACAGATTGAGTACTAAGACATTTTTAACTAGATTCTCGCAAAACTTTTTACCCTTTTACCCTTTTTATGAATTACAAAAATCATTTTTTAAAATGCAATCCGTATAAGAAATGCAAAAAAAACATCACCTCGTTAATCTGTTAAATATTTGATTAATACTTGCAAAATGATCACGTAGGGCACATACACGTAGTTTAAGGGGGAAGATAGGTAAGTGATACTTCTGGGGGCAACTTGAGAGTTCACCAATAAGGGAGAAGATAGGAAATTAATACTTTTGGGGAGGCAAGTTGAAAGTTCACCAATACTTTAAGGGGGAAATGATCATTTTGTCCAATAATCTTTGATGAAAAGAGCCAAAGAGGGTGCATGAAGGAGGATGCTTTCTATGCAAAACCTTAAAAGACAAACAAATATGAACCCAACTGTGTCTGCATTTCAAGATCTTTGACATATACTATTTTAATATGACATTAAGGATTATAAACTCCTAACATGTTACATGCCTATAATTACTTAAAAATAAACAATGATACATAAACATACAAACAAATAAGAACTGTTTTAATTTTTAAATTTTATATTGTAACATCTAAATTACACAAAAAAAAGTTATAGGTGAAAAGCCTAAAGATATATCCGATCAAATGATAGAAAATATGTTAAACATATCCAACCAAATGAGATGAATTGGATCACGGATTGCATATATGCAACCAAGGGAACCCCGAAGGCAAATGATGTACATCCATTCAAGTGGATGTAAGATCCAAAGTAGTTTGGTTACGTAAAGAATAGTCGATATCTAGCGTGTAAAACCTTGATAAATTCCACAACAGACAAGTTATTCTAAAGAAAACATCATAATGCTGAATTTGGCTGAGCAACAAGAAAAAGTGGAGAAGTACTCCAGCTTTGAAGTAAAATCACCTTAAGTAAAATGTGGAAACGGTCAGGGTCATCGAGGAGTAGGGGTGGCAAACGGGTTGGGTCAGGTCGGGTTTGTCCGGGTCAATTTCGACCGACCCATATAACCTTAACCTGAGCCTGACCCAGTCTATTAAACGGGTTACCTAACCCAACCTAACCCGAGTTACCCGAGTGACCCATATACTGTTACATTTACATAATTCTCTGTTGTTAGAAGTTCAAAAAGCAATTTGGTTCACACAAAAAAGGTTCAGTGGTACGCTTAAGATTAATAAAATGCAAAATGAATCCGATAGGTATCAACTAATCATGTACCATATTTCTACATGATTGAAATGTCTAGTAACTTAGGTCCAAGTTCTATTTGTTTCAAGTTTCATTCAAGCATAAAATCAAACAGATGGGAAGCAAACAGACAGATGCCATGAAATCGTCTTTATCTTAACTCCAATTTCAAAACAGAAGCTTTTACTCATATGAAGCCAAGCTGATGACTCATTTTCCAAGGAGCAGCAAAGCAACCAAAAGACCGCACACTAATGAAAACAAGATGGAACCCCAAATAAACAAGAGACTAACATGAACCTAACTTCAATTTCGATCAGGTTTGAGAGAACTACCGGCAATGAACCTCAAGATCTCAGCTACGACCCCAATTGGAGCTGTTCTTATTTAGGGTTTATCCGATGGGCGAGAGAAACGAGCAGAAGGAAGACGCAGGATTATAGGAAAATGACTTGAGAACCCAAAATAGGGGAACAAGGGAGGGACAGATGAGGTGTCTCCTCCTTATTGCCATATTTGCTATATCCACTCCCAAACAGTAACTTTGGGAGTTGGATTGCCGAAAATGCCCTTTTGGACTTGGCCTGGTTTGGTTTGGGAGAAGGACAATTTAGTCCTCACACACCCCCAAAGTTACTGTTTGGGAGTGTGGTTTGGGAGAAGGACAATTTAGTCCTCACACACCCCCAAAGTTACTGTTTGGGAGTGTGAATAGTTGTACCCCCTTATTGCATAATGAGTTGGCATGAATTGACATGGCCAACTCATTACGCAATAGGGAGGGGATACCTCACTTGTCCCCTCCCTTTGTCTTATATTTTGGGTCCCCGTAGCAGCACTCTTTTATGAAATGGGTCATGCATACGAGTATTACGGTTGACCCGAGATTGACCCTATTATTAAACGGGTTACTCGGGTCCACCTATTTAAGACCGTACCCATCAACGATTGGTCGGATTGAGTAAATGAATCGGGTCAGAAATTACCATCCCTATTAGGGGTGAGTAACGGTAGGTTCAGTTCAGTTTTTTTCAAAATTTGAACCGAACCGTCTATAATTCAAAACCGAACCGAACCGTCTATAATTTAAAACCGAACCGAATTGTTGCAAGTCTGTTCGGTGAGGTTCGGTTCGGTTTGTTCGGTGCTAATTTCATCAAACTTCTTATCAAACAACAAATTGTATTAAAGAAAAAAAGTATCAACAAAGTAGGAGATTATGAAGCATTAAACACTGATATAATGATATTGTTTTTAACCCATAATGATTCAGAAAATTAGTTTAGGGTTTGAGTCTTTGACTCTTTGGGACGTGTCGGGTAGGGTTTTGAGACCAGAATGGGTAGTATTGCACTATATTCGGTTGGTTCGGATCGGTTCGGGTTGAAAAGTTTTCAAACCGACCCGAACCGCCCTACTCATAAAACCGATTTTTCGGGTCGGTTCGGGTCAGTTCGGTCGGTTTTTTCGGTTTGGACCGAACCATGCTCAGCCCTACCGCCTACGTTATTAAGGAGCCAGGCAGAAGGGAACGTTCGCGCATCACCTCGAATGGACTTTTTTTTACAACATAAGAAAACGTAAGCTTGGAGCAACATGTCTATAGATTTTCTAATAAAAAAAGCCTCAATAAATATATTTTCACCTACTAAATGCAAATTAATCTACTCGCACATTTACATAATTTTAAACTGCTTCCTTTTTCACTTGCGAGTAGGCTCACTGATACCACCGGGTTCTCATAGTTTCACAAATTAATTAGTAGCTGAGTGCAAGGATGATTAATATACGAACAACAACAATTACTAATTGCAGAACATAAGAGCAGTAACTTTATGAGCAAAATAAAAACACGAGTGATCGCTAGAACTAACAAAAAACGACAACCCACATCAACCTCCCAAAAGAGCAATCAAAACCTCACCTCTTAACCAAAATCGAAAGGGGCGCAAATCATCTTTATGCGTACATGCGCAAGGCGCAACGCGATGTGCGCGCCCGAGTGATGCGAGGGGCACACCGCCCACATAATTTTTCAAAATATGTAATCAAGCGTGAAAGAACATGTTCTTAGAATTCACATGATAAATAATATCTTACTACAAGATCACAATATATATAATGCCTTATTAATTTCTAATGCTAACACCCAACATAATAGCAAAATTCATAAATTTTATACGGTAACATATTTACCATAGAAACAATTAGTCAGATGCACACTGATGATCGCCACAAGCCAAACATACATTTTGGCTTCATCTTCCACGTATTGTCTACTCCGTGTCCGTTTGCACAACGGACGTACTTCACATAAGATGAAACCGAACTTAAAATGATCGACTTGATCAATCTCAAGCTCTCAAACCAAATTCATATTCATAAAAAATCATAACATGCTACGTACGTATATAGTTTCTTTCCAATTTTATTCTACATACTAGTATATATATTTTGTCATATACATTACGATTAGATGCACCGTGATGGTCACCGGTACCGACCTACTACACAATCATATGTATCCAACTGCAGAATAATAACTTATAAAAGACAAATTTGAAAAAAAAAATTCTGAAAAAAAAAACACATGGAAAACAATCTTTGCAATATATCGTTCTAAATCAAAAGTAACTCGCTTGTTGATGCATCCATGAGGTGGGCACCTTTTACACTTGTAGGCGTCTAAAATTGCCTATAGGTTCTCGCACGCGGCTCGAGACAGAGAGAAGACGATGAATGTCACTATCCGAGTCACAGAAGCTTATTTAACGTCGACAAGCGCATGAAGTGAGTCGACGAACCGTGTGAAGCAACGAAACTTTAGAATAACGAAAACACGAACTGATTGGGAGCTACGCGTCGCTTACGAAACACGAAGCGCCCTTCGTATCCCTCCTACTCCACATGTCATTCAAACATGGGAGCTTGTAGATCTTCTTGTCAGCTTTACAACGCATATTGAATCGCGCAATTCCGAGTTCAAACGATGAAAATACGACGAAAACGGACGGGACGCGCAGAACAGTGCCCAGAACCAAAGCTAAGACACTGCGAGTGTCTCGGCCAACACCAAGACACTGCGAGTGTCTCACAAGCCGCACACCATTTTGTCTTCATCTTCCACGTATTGTCTACTCCGTGTCCGTTTGCACAACGGACTTCACATCAGATGAAACCGAACTTAAAATGACTTAATCAATCTCAAGCTCTCAAACCGAATCCATATCCATAAAAAATCAAAACATGCTACGTACGTACGTGTATATAGTTTCTTTCCAATTTTATTCTACATACTAGCATATTTTGTCATATACATTACGATTAGATGCACCGTGATGGTCACCGGTACCGACCTACCACACAATCACTGCAGAATAATAACTTATAAAAGACAAATTTGAAAAAAAAAATCTTCTGAAAAAAAGCATTCCAGACCAAACATTCTATAATCATCATAATGAAACATGTTACGTGTGGAGTTTATTTCAAGTTCTACTTCATATATCAACATATTTAGTCCTACTATATACTAAAAGAGAACCCTTAGCTGCCACTTGAAAAATCTTAGGATTTTGCCTATTAACCTTCAACTAATATTTCATAGTAAATAAATACTTTTTCCATAATGCATTAATACTTCATATTATAATCTTTACATTACTTGATACTTAATTCTAGATCTTTGTGTCTACAACTTCTAATAATGTTCTGTAAAGCAGAGCTTATAAAGAATATATTTTTAAACATTAGATACTCGAGTTGAATTTAGTGAAGCAAATACATTCCATTCAACACTTTAATTTTCATTCCACCCTTCCAACTCTTCACTCTTCTTTGTCTCTCTTGGTGGGTCTTTTCTCATATTAATCCTAGTATTCTATCTTCAATTGTGATGGCATCATCCTCGAGTCCGAGCGCCTGCAACCTTGAGGTCTACAATGACCTTTTCTCCTATTTCAAAGTTTGTTCTTAAGCCTTTGTACTTGTAGTTGAGTTCTATACATGATGAGCTCCAAAATCGGATTAACAATAGAGAACCTAGAATTAGATAGTTGTTGATGTTAAGTGATCAAACAATCAATTATATTGTGATGGGATGAGATTGATAAGGGGCCGTTTCTTTCCCCGAATATCCGGTTTTAAGTTTAGTAATTGAAGCCTGCATAAATAACAGCTCTTGAGAGGACGGGGCTTGGTGTTGTGTGTGGCGGACAAACCGATAGGTGCCGAGAATAAATACCAATACCGAGAGAGAAAGAAAAACAATCCAAAATAACAGTACAAACATAAACAAACAAATTCTATGTGGTTCGGCAAGTTGCCTACGTCCACGGGGCAAGAAGGGGATGGGTTTTCACTAATAGAGAAGGATAGTACAAATTAAGATTACAAAATCACTAAAACTCATCAATTAATCTCGTAAACAAAGTTCTCAATCTCTCAAACAAAACCCTAACCAATAACTCCAGAAAAGACTCTTTTTTGTGCTCCAAATATCCCCAATACTGCTCTTCAGAAACCATAAATGTGTTTCAACATATATATATATATCAAAACACAAACCAAATCAGAACAAGAAATCGCAATCATGCCCAAACTCGATTGGTTGTCAACCGTCGAAATCATCATCGTTGACCGACCAGAAAGACAGAAACCAAAATCGATTATAGGGTTTTGGTGGTCGACCGTGATGGTCGACTGGCCAGAGTACAAAAACACACCTTGTAGTCATGCATGTTTGCAGTCGACCGCGCCAAAGCTCGCGGTCGACCGGATTTGGCGCGGTCGACCGGAATGCATCCAAATGTCTGTCTGCTTTATTTTTCCTGATCTTCTCTAATGTTTTCGCCAATTCTATAATTCTCCACCTCGGCGACGTTTTTCCAAAACTGAACGGACACCAACCAAACCAAATGTTTCACTTGTTATGTCCAGTACGAAGTGAAACAAATCCACAATAATGGACTCAATCTACAATAAGTCAAGACCCAAACAAGAATGCGAACAAACTCTAAATGTCAGTATCAACTCACCAAACCAGCTGCATCATAAAATGACTGTCTACATATCCTCTTGCCTAGGAATCAAGCCTCACGTAGTTCACCAAATGGCTTCTAAAGGCCCTTAATCAACTAGAAGGACTTTCAATCCTTTACGATCATCACCAACAAATCTGCAGCTGATAACTCTCCCACTGGCCTCAAAGTAAAACGAACCAAACACCTCCACCTGAGGTGAACCAACAGTCATGTCCAAATTCATACTGTGTCCACCAGCTATACTCGAATCAACAAACTCATCATCTGCATCCATATCAATATGGTCCCCACTCTGTGTCACCTCAGCTGGAATCCTAAACAATGCAGAATGATCTGGAGAATGTTGAGTAATCTCCACCCAACATGGAGTAGCATCACTCTCCACCCGCTGTGATATCCCAATGATCTGTCCAACACTCTCTA